GCCAATCCCTAAGTACCTTCCCCTCTTTCATACATTTATTTAACAAAAATACCAACCACTCCAACACTATATCCTCCCCTGCTTTTAACATTTCTGTCATGATCCCATCAGTTCCAGCTGCTTTACCCCTTCATTCTACGTAATGCCTCATACACCTGCCCCTCACTCGCATCCTGCTCTTCTTCACTCCTAAAAGATGTTATACCTCCCTGGCCAGTGCATGAAATTACCACCTCCTTTTCTTCATTGACATTTAAAAGTTCCTCAAAATATTCCTGCCATCTTCCCAGTACCCCCAACCCCCCTTCTACTAACTCCCCTACTCTGTTTTTAACTGACAAATCCATTCGTTCCCTAGGCTTTCTTAACTTATTTATCTCACTCCAAATTTTTTTCTTATTTTCATCAAAATTTCTTGACAGTGCCTCTCCCACTCTATTATTTGCTCTCCTTTTACACTCTCTCACCACTTTCATCACCTTTCTTTTACTCTCCATATACTCTGTTCTTCTTATAACACTCCTGCTTTGTAAAAACCTCTCATAACCTACCTCCTTCTCTTTTATTACACCCTTTACTTCATCATTCCATCAATCACTCCTCTTTCCTGCTGCACCCATCCTTCTATAGCCACAAACTTCTGCTCCACATTCAAATACTGCATTTTTAAAACTATTCGAACCCTCTTCAACCCCCTCCCCACACTACTCATACTTGCACAAGCCCACCTTTCTGCCAATAGTTCATTATATCTCACCCTAACTTCCTCCTTCCTTAATTTATACACTTTTACCTCTCTCTTATTTGCTGTTGCCATTTTCCTTTTGTCCCATCTACCTCTTACTCTAACTGTAGCTACAACTAAATATATCTGTTGCCCCTCTGTAAACATGTACATCCTGAAGCCTACCCATCAACCTTTTATCCACCAGTACATAATCTAACAAACTGCGTACTTTCATTACATGCCACATCATACCTTGTATACTTATTTATCCTCTTTTTCATAAAATATGTATTACTTATTACCAAACCTCTTTCTACACATAGCTCAATTAAAGGCTCCCTATTTTTATTTACCCCTGACACCCCAAATTTACCTACTACTCCCTCCACAACATCTTTACCCACTTTAGCATTGAGATCCCCAACCACAAGTACTCTATCACTTGGTTCAAAACTCCCCATGCACTCACTCAACATTTCCCAAAATCTCTCTCTCTCCTCTACACTTTTTTCTTCTCCAGGTGCATAAACACTTACTATAACCCACTTTTCACATCCAGCCCTTATTTTACTCCACATAATCCTTGAATTTATACATTTATATTCCCACTTTTCCTCCCATAATTTATCCTTCAACATTATTGCTACTCATTCTTTAGCTCTAACTCTGTTTGAAACCCCTGACCTAATCCCATTTATTTCTTCCCACTGAAACTCTCCTACTCCCTTCAGCTTTGTTTCACTTAAAGCCAGGACATCCAGCTTCTTCTCATTCATAACATCCACAATCATCCCAATCTGTATATGGCTTTTTATTATATTCCAATCATTGGAGTTTTTGCATATTCATATCCTTCCACCTCAGGGGGTGAATTACCAGTTTGTGACCATACCCTCTCGTTGTACAGTGGCACCATGGATCTTCACAAATATCTCTTAAGTCATTCATTACGAATCCTCAGACACAGTTTGTACATCTTCGCTAATCTTGATGACATCTTGGTCATGGACCATACTTCACTTTTGATGTTTGTAGATCTCTTAGGTGATTAGAAAATTTCAGAAGATTGACTTCCTCATCAGTCATGAGAAGTTGACCCTCATTTCATCATGCTCCCTGACATGGTTATGCATTCATTTTTTAATTATCCAGTCTGTCTATGTTACCCCAGACAGTCAGTCTCATCTACAGTTTCAGTTTTAGAAGTTCCTAAACAGGTCAGAGCATTTTAATGTTCAACTTGTGTATCTGTCTAGTATCTGCAGCATTGAGTCAAATATTTTTGCTTTCCACAGTGACGTAATTTTGCTTCTCTCATAGTGTTTCAGAGGCCTTACAGTGGTGGGTAACCCTAACAAGCTTTCGGAGCTCTGTTTCTGTGCATGTCTTTCTACTAATAATGACAGATGCCTCATCCCACAGCAGAGGCATGCCAGCCCTGAATTGAAAGGAACCAAAAAACATTCACTCAGTTCACTAGAGCTCTCTGTTAGGGACTTTGCCTCTAGCATTTCACTCAGTCTCAATCTTCTTCCTTCAGAAAAGATTAGGATTTTGCATTTATCAGTGTTATTTGCATTAACATATACGTACTATAACATTCACCTTTTCCATGGATTCCTTCATGCTAGTCACTGTACTCTCCTCATGGCAAATAAGAAAATATATTGTAATTGCCATCTAATATAATTTTGTTTTATCAGCTTTTTTATATATGGTGAGTTAAATTATGTTGTTCTACCAAGGAAGTAAATTCATATAAAAACTGTCTACATCAACTTTGTAGATTTAGCAGTAGCCTGGCAAATACCATGGCATTTATAAAATGTGTTAAGCCACCCATTAGGGTACTCATTCTAGCTGCTTGGTGAAAATACTTACCCTTTTCCATGAAAAACAGTAACAGAAAGAGAAACACATTCCATGTGTTGCTGGCAAAACCATTCACATATAACTTTATTGTCCTTGTCACAATTAGTACTGTTACAGTACTACAATATACATTTTTTTTTTTTTCAGTTTATATCATACACTATTGCTTTTTAATATGGTACTGTACCACACTTTATCCTTTATCTAATTTCATTGACTACCCAGTGTTAGTCCCTCCATGTGCCAAAATGTGACTCTCTAAACTAGAAAAACCATACCATTTTCAGAGTACTGTACCAAAGTGAACCTTCTAATCCTCCAAAATAGGAGATTCAAGACTTGCTAGATGCAACTGTATAACAGTGTACTATTTTGTTAGATACAGTGGTACTTCGGGTTATGAACTTAATTTGTTCCAGAAGGCTGTTCAAGTGCCAATACCCAACGAATTTTTTCCCATAACGAATAATGTAAATTAGATTAATCTGTTTCAGACCCCCAAAATATACTTACATAATTGTTTGAGTTGGGAGCTGTTCGTATGCTGAGGTACCAGTGTATATTTGTAGATGTAATGTATTTGAATTTTGACAGACTTGGTTAACCCTTCAACTGCCCAAATTTGATCTGTTTTCACTCTGCTCTGAATATTTTGAAAAAAAAAAAAAAATTTTATTTTTTTAGAACAAAGTAGGCAATTTTCTGTGTATACCTGAAGTGTACCTGGAGAGGGTTTCAAGGGTTGCTGCCCTCTAGCAGAAAAATTTTTTTTAGCACAAGTATTTGTTGAGATATAAGGCAGCGAAGTTGACTCTGGATGCTCACCTGATGGCAATGTGAAGTCCTGACGCTGGCAGAAATGTTGCCACTATACCTTTTTTCTCTCTCTTTTTTTTTTTAATTTACATTATTTTAATATTCTGATAATTGCAGTTTGTAGTAGTTCTTGTGATTTTATAGCCAGTCTTTGTCCTGACACTAATATTAGGTACTGAAATACAGTAGTAATCAAATAGTCATGAAATGCCTAGCCATGCTAAGCGTTCTAGTGGTACACTCTGTAATCTCAATTTTACTACATGTAAACCAAACAATAACCAAATTTCTGTAAACTCAGCATTGTAATCCTTATAGAGAATAAACTTTGAATTGAATTGAATTGAACACACTGACAGGTGAATATGTTCACCTGCCTTAGTCACATACTATTGTCTAAAAAAATTTTTCTCTTTTTTTTTTTTTTAGCATGTCAGCCATTTCCCACCAAGGCAGGGTGACCGAAAAAGAAAGAAAAAAACTTTCAGCATCACTCAACACTTTCACAATCACTCACACATAACTCAAGTCCAGCTAACTGGTTTTTCTGAATCCCTTCACAAAATATTGCCCTGCTCACACTCCAACAGCTCATCAGGTCCCAAAAACCAGTTGTCTCCATTCACTCCTATCTAACACACTCACAAGCTTGCTGGAAGTCTAGAAATATATACAAATTATTTATAGGCCCCATCAGTGTTTTTAAAAGTGCTGGAGTGTGAAACTCCTAACCATAGTGTCAGACAAGAGTGTCACCCTATACTGCTGACAGTGCAGCCATTCAGTATTGCTGATCTTGCATGACTCCCAGTGAACCTTGGCATATTTTTTTATTTGTTCTCACTGTTATACATAAAGATGTCTGTCTGTCTAGTTCTGTCTCTGTTTGTCTCTGCTTATCTGTCTGCCTGTGTGTGTGTCTCTCTCTCTCTCTCTGTCTCAGAGAGAGCTGCAGATGAACCAACAGGTATTATGCATGTTGCAGAATTGTCACATCTGAGCAAGTGAGAATGAGTGTTACTTGCCATAGTCATGCTTATGCCTCATATCTGTAAACACAATAGTATAGCACTTTGTCTGGCTTTTTTGGGTTATCCTAGGTAATTTACACTATGTATGATAACTGTACTTATGTGTACCTGAGACAAAGACAGAGATAGAACTAACCAACCAGCCAGCCAAACATGTATTACATACATTGTAGAATCATCATGTCTGAACAAGTGGAAATGCACATAACTTGCCACAGTCATGATTTTTTAATACTGTGCACAGATTTTTTTTTAATACTGTGCACACTGAGTGTTAAGACCCATTCTGTGCTAAATCTCTCAGGCCTATTGTGCTAAATTTGGAGGCAGGAAAAATAAAACGTTGATCTATGTTTGGAGCACTAGCAGTAAGAACGTAGATCAGTGTTTGGACAATTAAAGGAAAAATAATGGCTTTTATTCTTTGAAGTTTTTAAAGAAATTCACACACTAGACTAGTAAAGTGACAATATATAGCATACATATTGACTGTTTCATCATAATGCAGTATTCCCAGAGAGTCTGAAAGTAATGCATAGTTTCTTCCATGGCAGACTCTTCAGGACGGCGCATAGTTCTCGTGTCTCGCAGTAGCAATTATGAATCATTGTGGCTGGAGGAAGTGGTATTAGTGTCATCTAGTAGTTCCTTCCACCTTGTATTTGAGGGAGAGACTGGTTCTCCACACATGACATCAGTTGCTCTAGATGATGTGTCTCTCACACTGGTAAGACTTGGAAGGGACAGAATTTATAATAATTATAGGCTTTCCTATCATAAACCAAACTCGCTGTCTTAGGAAAAAATCCATTTCAGTAAACATAAATTTTGACTTAATGAATTGTTATCGTTTCCTAACCCCACATCACAGAATATATACATAAAAGGCCATTTTTATATAAAAATAATTACTCACCAGATATCCTAAAGGGGCACATTTAGTGGTTGCTGAATTTTTTCTTCCCTTCTCTTTTTCTTCCTCCAAACTTTCTCATATAACTCAAGAATGCCTCATTTGATCAGTTTTAACTTTTCAACGTTAGATTACTGTACCAGGGAAAAGATTCATGCAACTATTGGCATGTGCAGGTCCCTGTGATCAGTGTTATATACAGTAGTACATTCCAACTTTCCTGGAATTGTTCCACTACTTTTTAATAACCCCTTATGACTGGCTTTAAACATTTGGAATAGGTATACCTTACTTTAACAAGTGCATGGGGATCAACAACATCCAATCACCTAAAACTCCTAATAACCCAGCAAAAGGCAGCAGTAAGAATGATAACAAATTCCCACTCCTGCCAGCATACTCCACCAATTTTCAGAAGTCTGAATCTGCTCACCATTAAGAACATCCATACTTATTCATGTGCCTACTACATACACAGAACAATACACGCAGATATAAACCCTCCACGCAAACTTTTCCTCACCAACCTAAACAGGACACATGACCACAACACAAGACACAGATCTCTTTTTGATATACCTCGTGTCCATATCACACTGTGTAAAAACTCTATGCACATAAAGGGCCCCAAAATATGGAATTCATTACCAGAAGATATTAAAGTAACCCGGTCTGAAAATCAATTTAAGACTCTTCTCAAAAGCCACTTAATCACCCTAGACTAAATGCTAAATACTCAGTACATACTTACTCACCTATGTACTCCCACATCATAACTTCAACAATCACTTTGAACCTTTTATCCATTGTTGACAGGAATATAATTGAATCATTGTTTTCACAAAAAGCATTTTCGAATATAAATGTATCTTTGTCTTATACAAATTTTGATTCATTTATAATTAATATTCTACTGTACAACTACGAAATAATTACTATCCTACTGTACAACTATTATATACTCCTTAGTGTTAAGTAAACTGTAAGCCAATAATTTTAAGTTGGTCCATAATGCCTAGGCATAATAGAGGCTCTCTTTGCATTGCAACCCACTATTGTAAATACAAAATCTCAATGCACAGTTTGCAAAGACATAAAATAAATAAATAAATAAGAGAGTGTAATTGAAGCTGCTTACTGAGGTTTGGAATTGTTATTGGAGTGTGCTAGTGACAATTTTAATTTTAAAATGGTTTAATACAGTGGAACCTCAAAAATCGAACTTAATCCATTCCAGGAGCTAGTTCTAAATTTGAAAAGTCTGAAATTCGAAGCAATATTTCCCTTAAGAAATAATAGAAATACAATTAATCCGTTCCAGAAACCCAAAAATATTCACACAAAAAATACATTTTAAAGAGATTAATTACAGTTTTACATACAACAAATACTATAGTTTATAATTATGTATAGTAATACATATAAAATAACATTTTTACTTACCTTTATTGAAGATTGGTGATGGCATCTGGAAGATAGGGAGGAGGAGAGAGGGAGTTGGGGTTAGTGTTTGGAAGGAGAATCCCCCTCCATGAGGACTTCAGGTAAACCCCTCTCTGGGGTTACTTCCCTTCTCTGTCTTTTAATGCCACTAGGACCAGCTTGAGAGTCACTGGACCACTGTCTCACAAAATAACTGTCCACAGTCCTCTGTTTCTGGCACCTCTTTAACATTTCCCTAAAATGGGACATGGTTCTGTCACTGAACTTGTTGCAAAGATGGTTTGTTTCAGCTTGCTCAGGGTAGTACTTCTGCACAAACATTTGGACATCATTCCGCTTGGCACAAATCTCCTTAATCTTTGAAGAAGGCACCTCATCCACTCCCTATATTAACACCTTTCGCAACATCAGCTTCCTTGATTTGTTCTTTCTTTGACAGGACAGAACCGATGGTCGACTTGTTTTTCCCATACATCCTGGCAAGCTCAACAAGTCTCACACCACTCTCATACTTCTGTATTATTTCCTTCACATCTATGGTGTTTCTCACTTTCTTTACCACAGGAGTACCACTAGCAAGTTTCTTTGGGCCCACGGCAGCTTATTTCACAGTCCCACAAGCACTAAACACAACGAAATAATCGTAAAATGCGTGAATGAGAGCGCGGGTTAGTGTTCACTCAAGCATAAACAAAGCTAGACTGCTCACAGCGCCTGCGTGGGGACGTGGACAGAGCGGGCCGGCAGACAGGTCCCGTACCCGGCGGTCCAAAAATAGGGGCGCGTTCGATAATAGGGACACAGTTTGTCCGAAAAAATGGTCCAATTTTCGAAACGTTCAATATGTGATATGTTCGATTTTTGAGGTTCCACTGTATTTCCTGTATAATAGTCAGACTGGTGATTCCAAATGGCTTAAATTGTTAATGCCTGATGCATCTGTTGGGAAGGATATCATAATGAGTTTAATCTGTGTCAGTACAAATTTCCTAATATACTTACTTATACGTATACTGTAATTAAAGAACTTGAAATCATTGGTATCATATATACAGTAACAGTAATGCCTCTTTTGATTAAAAGATTAAAGATTTTATTTCTTTGCAAAAGTTACAAAATGTAATTACAATTTTGATTTGTTAAGTACAAATCAAAATTGGTATCATGTCAAGGCATTTCGGGTAAACTAATCCTAGTACATAATAGCTACTTAAGTCTAGACAAGATAAGAATGCTTAACTTTTTAATAAATCTTTATTTTATCTTAATACTAATGTGAGGTAGTCAGGGTGGAGGTTTATAAGAATAATAATCTTGAAGTTGCACATAAAAACAATATTACAATTAGTGGTTCAAACTGTAATATTTTATGGATTGGCAGATATTTTAATAGACTAGAAGTCATATAATATAATATTTGGGAAAGTTGCTTCAAACTGATTAAAAGTTGTTTTGGTTGGTTTGGTTAGTATTGAGAGATGAGATGATTTTTAAGAATAGTCCTAAATTTATATACAGTCAGGGGATCCTTTACCGGTTCAGGTAGTGAATTCCAGATCTTCAGTCCCTTTATGTACATTCTATTTTTGCATAGTGTGATACTGACACAAGGGATGATGACACGATTAGCTTCAAACTTTTAGGGGTTGTGTGTTTTTTCATTTGGTAGGTTCTCATTATTATTGGGCTGGTTAAGTCCCAAATTTACTAAACAAATTGTGATACCAATTTCCTGTCAGTAACCAAGGAATGTATCTTCTGACTGGCTTCAAACCTATAATGCTGATGCATTTGGTTAGAAGGATGATATTCATTGATATTCATTTTTTTCTAGTCTGTAAGTACAGTGGACCCTCGACCAACGATGGCATCGTCTAACGTTAAATCCGACTAGTGATACATTTTAAGGCAAAAATTTTGCCTCAACTAGCGCTAAAAAACACGACCAACAGGATTCGTTCTGTTCGAGACGCGTCCACTTGTGGCCAGTGTTTACAAGCCAGCCAGCCACCGCGGTCCCATCCAAACATACAATTGGAACATTTCATATTATCACAGTATTTTTAGTGATTGCACCTGCAAAATAAGTCACCATGGGCCCCAAGAAAGCTTCTAGTGCCAACCCTACAACAAAAAGGGTGAGAATTACTATGGATATGAAGAAAGAGATCATTGCTAAGGGGTTGGAGGTTAGTAGGGAGGATGTGGAAGAGTTGGTGGAGGACGACAATGATGAACTAACCACTGATGAGCTGCAAGATCATCTTCAACAGCAAGAGGCCAGACCAGACCTGAGGAAACTGCTCCGGAGGAGGGGATAGAGAAATTGAGGAAGTTGCCTACTTCAAAGATTAAGGAAATGTGTGCAATGTGGCTTAAAGTGCAAACCTTTTTTGATGAAAATCACCCTGACACAGCTACTGCAAGTCGTGTTGGCAACCTGTACACTGACAATGTTATGGCCCATTTTAGGAAAGTCTTAAAGGAACAGGAGGTACAGAGCTCTATAGACAGATATGTTGTGCGACAGAGGTCCAGTGATTCTCAAGCTGGTCCTAGTGGCATTAAAAGAAGGGAAGTAACCCAGGAAAAGGACTTGACACCTCAAGTCCTAATGGAAGGAGATTCCCCTTCTAAACACTAACACCATCCACACTCTCCCCTCCTCCCATCCCATCAATCATCACCAGATCTTCAATAAAGGTAAGTGTCATGTAACTGTACATGTCTTCTTCAGTTTGTGTGTATTAAAATTAATATTTCATGTGGCAAAAAATTTTTTTTTCAATACTTTAGGGTGTCAGGAACAGATTAATTTGATTTCTATTATTTCTTATGAGGAAAATTAACTCGACTAACAATAATTTCTACTAACGATGAGCTCTCAGGAACGGATTAATATCGTTGGTCGAGGGTCCACTGTATTAGGATTAGTCTGCCCGAAATGCCTGGGATGTTAGTGACTTTCTTTGTACTTAACAACATTTTATAAAATGTAATCACACATTGTAACCTTTGCAAAGAAATAAAATTTGTTTGTTTGTTTAACAATGTGTAGTTCAAATCAAGCATTTTTGTTATTATATCATTTGTACTTTTTAGCCAGAACTCAAGCTAACAGAGGTTGAGAATACTGTGTTTTGTTTTGAATTCTTACATTCTCTTGTGTATTATTTTTGTATTTTTTTTAAATATTTTAGATAGTAGTAGCAAGTTTGAAGCTGACCTATAGTTTTTGACTTCAGATGGGTTTCCACTTTTATAGATAGGTGCAACCTTAGCTAGTTTAAGTATGTTCATGAATGTTTCGGTTTCTAATTTGTTAACACCACATTAGTTGGTGAAAATACATTCACAGATTTCTTATAGATGAGTGAAGGTATATTAGCTTTGTCTTTTTTTTTTAAGCGAATTTATTATTGAGATTACCCTGGGAACTAGTGGGTGATAGATGCATGGAACTTCAGTAATCATCTGTAAGAAAATCTCTCTCTTGGATTTGGGAGTTTGTGATTTTATTGGATAGGCTTGATCCTGTAGTCAAGAAGAGATTGTTTAATTTATTTACCATGTCAGTGATTAAGATGAGAGGTACATTAGGTTTATTTCCTATAATTTCTTTAGTTTTAGAACCAAGTACAGTATATAGAACAGTGTTTTCATTAAGTCAGTTAACATAGTACAGTAGGACCCCATTTGTATGGCTCTAAAGTTCTTAATCCCGTACAGTAGGTGAAAATCACCTGCGGGTGGAAAACAGCATTTTTTCATTATCAGATTCATCTAAAATGCCTGATAACATAGTGCAAACATCATATATTAAGTGCTTAACACAGCTTGGCATAAAATAAAACATAAATAAAATAAATACATAGTACAGTACCTACAATACTTACCTTAATATATGGTGCCGGTCGCCCTTCCCTTACACAACTGTTGTACCAAAACAGCGGAAAACCAGTAAAAGCACTAAGCATAATGAAAAATGGCTTGGTTGAATGCTGATGAAAATGTGAAACGCCGAAAAGAGGGTGCTGTATATATGTGCTCTCCTGTATAAGTGCTTGTTTTTCTTTATTAGCTTAGTTGGTTTTTATGAGGCAGCAGTTGCTAAACTGGCTTTGAACTTTCTGTGGGAATATTTGGGCACATAAATTAATGTCTTGACCATTCTACTTATTTTTTCACTTTAAATCATTATGAGCAAAGGAAATGTTAGATAACTTACATTTCCTGAATGGTTCAATTAGTATTTACCTCTGGTTAACCTAATAGTATATGAAGTGCTATTCTCACCTCTGTTTATATACATACTTTCATATGCAGTTCATCTTAATTGGGCACATTGCTAAGTGATTTTTTGTGAGGTTTAAGAATTAAATAGCACAACGGCTTGGTTGCCCATGGCTAACCAGCACCATTCTGAAATCCATTGACAAGAAACACCAATATGAAAAGGAATATAGACAGGGCTTAATACACAAAGATATTCTTAAACACTATTCATCAGCTCTCACCAAAGTAATAAAGAAAGCCAAACAACTATACTACTCCAGTAGATTCACAGACACTAGAGGAGATATAAAAAAGACCTGGAAAACACTCTCTCAGATTCTAGGGACCCACAAACTGAAAAAAACCAAGAATATTGTCCTAACTAAACCTAATGAAACACCACTACATCCCACTGACACAGCTAACAAGATAAACGACTTCTTCTCAACCATAGGATCTAATCTCGCAGATAAAATCCCACATACCAATGCCCATGCCAGAGACTACCTAGATGGGAATTTCCCAAATTCCTTCTATCTTGCACCAACTGAGCCCTCGGAAGTCACCGAGATTATAAAGTCACTTAAAAACAACTCAGGGAATCTGTCTAATGTCCCACCATTACTGTACAAGCGAGTGGCCCATATCCTTTCGCATGCTATTTCATTACTTTTTAACAAGTCACTAGAAACTAGCACCTTCCCGAAACTACTCAAGATGGCAAGGGTTACACCAATACATAAAGGTGGTGACCCTACAGACTTAAACAACTATAGGCCAATATCAAACTTACCATTGCTATCCAAAATCTTTGAGAAACTCATGCACAGGAGACTATATTCATTTATAACAGCACAAAACATACTCAACCCCTGCCAATTTGGATTCAGGAAAAATAAAAGCACTAATGATGCAATCAAAAAAATGCTAGATCTGCTTTACACAGCATTGGAAAATAAGGAATATCCACTAGGAATTTTTTATTGACCTAAGAAAAGCTTTTGACACAGTAGACCACGACATCCTACTCCACAAACTTGACCATTACGGTATAAGAGGCCATGCACTTGCTTATTTCAAATCTTACCTTACTAATAGGTATCAGTATGTCACCATTAAAGACACAGCATCAACAACACAGCCACTTGATACTTGAGTTCTGCAGGGAAGTGTCCTTGGTCCCCTGCTCTTCCTCATATACATCAATGATCTTCCAAACGTATCCCTACACCTGAAACCCATTCTCTTTGCTGACGACACGACTTATGTCATCTCTCACCCTAATCTTGCCACCCTCAACACCATTGTTAACGAGGAGCTGATCAAAATATCGACTTGGATGACAGCCAATAAACTTACGCTTAACACTGACAAAACCTACTATATTATGTTTGGTAGCAGAGCAGGAGATGCACAAATTAACATTAAAATCGACAATACTCTAATTACCAGACATAATGAGGGCAAATTCCTAGGCCTATACCTTGACAACAACCTGAATTTCAGCACCCATATCCAACACATAACCAAAAAAGTATCCAAAACGGTTTGGGATCCTCTCCAAGATACGATTACTACGTGCCGCAAAATGCCCTTCTCACACTATACCACTCACTTATTTATCCATACCTCACCTATGCTATTTGTGCTTGGGGATCTACTGCAGCAACACACCTAAAGCCAATAATAACCCAACAAAAAGCTGCAGTAAGAATAATCACTAAATCCCATCCCTGGCAACACACCCCCCCACTCTTCATAGATCTAAACTTACTCCCTGTTCAGTACATCCACACTTACTACTGTGCACTCTACATCTACAGGGCCTTAAACTCCAATATCAACCTTGACCTAAAACGCTTTCTTGATAGTTGTGACAGAACCCACAGGCATAACACCAGACACAAACATCTCTACGACATTCCCCGTGTCCGACTAAACCTTTACAAAAATTCAATGTATGTCAAAGGTCCTAAAATCTGGAACACCCTACCTGAGAACTCTAGAACTGCAGACACATTCATCACCTTCAAAACTACCATTAGAAAACATCTTATCTCCCTGATACACCCCATCAACTAACTACACGAATACCACCTGGTGGTTCACACTTACACTCACTCACCCATTTGACCATAAACAGAAATATTAATCTCAATCTTAAAATAATGAATCCTATGATACTCCAATACTGAAACTATGTACTGTGCCAAAACAAAAGCATTCACATTGCTAAACTCACAAACTAGCATTTATTCACTTAGCCATAATACCAACTTACCTCATAATTTGTAATATTTTAAAATAAAGAATTAAACTAAGTGTGCCCGAAATGCCTAGCCATGCTAGGCGTTCTAGTGGTACACTCTGTAATCATTATTTAACTACATGTAAACCACACAACAACCAAATTCTGTAAATTCAACATTGTAATCTTTATAGAGAATAAACTTGGAATTTGAATTGAATTTGAACTACAAGAGCACTTCTACTTACATGTTTAAAAAATGACTTGTTACAGGAATGTGCAACTGGTGTAGGTCCTCCACCTATTAATAATACATGTGTGCCCAGTCAGAAGCAGTGTACAACAGGAGAGTGTATTCCTGTAGAGTTCTTCTGTGACTGTTATACAGACTGTGTCGATGGGTCGGATGAGCAGGATTGCTGTAAGTTATATTTCATTATCTACATAATACTGTAGTGAAGTTTGAATGTCAGGTATGGCAGTTCTGTATGTGTATGTATAATTGTAACTTAAAATTAATGGCAAACTAGACAATGAGGAGAGGGTTATTATGAGCATAGTTTTTTCTTGTAATTACAAGTAAATATGGTCCGGTAAGCATCTACTGAAATTCAAGAATTGTGAAAGGACACCATTCCTAAAGAAAAAAAAAAGTTGCTATAAAGAAGCGATCCATTGTAGAGAATTACCTATTTTAAGTACAGTAAAGGTATTGGTTATTCATGCATAGCATCAGATCCCAGAATTTGTCAAAGCAATGGGCAAATTCACTTCTTATCTCCTTTAGTTTTCTACAAAGCCTTTGTACTAAACATCAGGTACGTTTGTCACATTCTTCTTTTCTAGAGAAACAAATAAGAATAATACAGACTATCACTTGACTTACCTCTCCTTTAAATAGGAGAGGTAAGTCAAATGATAGTCTGTGTGAGATTGGGCTTTAGTTGAAGGGAAAGTCTCAGAACTTCAGAAAACTGAAATCCATTTCAGAGAATGGAAGGTTAAAGAAGGCATACTTGGGCACATAAGTGGTAGGAAGGTTCAAAATTGGTGGCTTATGGTAAATTTGACTGGCAGCATTTCATTAGAACCATTATCTGCACATAGAAAAAGAAAGGAATTAGCCACATATCATCATAAGTAAGGAAAATTCTTAATAAATTAGGGAAGATTTTGAGACTAAGGGCCCTGAATCTGCACTCTCTAGAAAGCGGTAGAATTAGGAGGAGCAATTTTTTCCTGGATAGAGGCATGGTTGACAAATAGGCAGCAGAGAGTTTGCATAAATGGGGAGAAATCAGAGTGGGGAAGCATCACGAGCGGGGTTCCACAGGGGTCAGTGTTGGGCCCCCTGCTGTTCACAATCTACATAAACGACATAGATGAGGGCATAAAGAGCGACATCGGCAAGTTTGCCGATGACACCAAAATAGGCCGTCGAATTCATTCTGACGAGGACATTAGAGCACTCCAGGAAGATTTGAATAGACTGATGCAGTGGTCGGAGAAGTGGCAGATGCAGTTTAATATAGACAAATGCAAAGTTCTAAAACTTGGACAGGACAATAACCATGCCACATATAAACTAAATAATGTAGATCTTAATACAGTGGACCCCCCCGGGTTTAACGATTTTTAATCCTGCAAGAGGGCTCATCGTTATGCGAAAAAAATCGTTATGCGAATTAATTTTCCCCATAAGAAATAATGGAAATAAAATTAATCCGTGCAAGACGCCCAAAAGTATGAAAAAAAATTTTTTTTACCACATGAAATGTTAATTTTAATACACACAAACTGAAAAAGGCATGCACAATTACATGACACTTACTTTTATTGAAGATCTGGTGATGATTGATGGGATGGGAGGAGGGGAAGCATTATCTTCTTACTGTTTAGAAGGGAATCCCCTTCCATTAGGACTTGAGGAGCAAGTCCTTTTTGGGGTTACTTTCCCTTCTTTTTTAATGCCACTTTGGACCAGCTTCAGAGTCACTGGGGCCTCTGTCGCACAACAAATCTGTCCATAGAGCTCTGTACCTCCCGTTTCTTCAAGACTTTCCTAAAATGGGCCATAACATTGTCATTGAAATAGTCACAAGCACGGCTTGCAACAGCTGTGTCAGGGTGATTTTCATCTATAAAGGTTTGCAGTTCAAACCACTCTGCACACATTTCCTTAATCTTTGAAGTAGGCACAATGGATTCCACAACTGGCATAGGCTTCTCAGGGTTAGCCCCAAACCCTTCAAAATCTTTCTTAATTTCCATACTAATTCTCACCCTTTTTACCACAGGGTTGGCACTAGAAGCTTTCTTGGGGCCCATGGTCACTTATTTTCCAGAAACACCACCGAAAACACTGTAATAATACGAAATATTCCGAGTGTATGCTTGGATGTTACCGCGGAGGCTGGCTGGTAAAACAATGGGACGGCCGGCACATGTGAGGGCACATTGGACGCGTCTCGGACGAAAATCGGTATGCGGGTTTTAATCGGTATGCGGGGCAAAAATTTTGCGATAAAAGTAATCGTTATGCGGAAAAATCGCTATGCGATGCCATCGTTATGCGGGGGTCCACTGTATTACGGATTGCGAAAAAGATTTAGGAGTTCTGGTTAGCAGTAATCTGAAACCAAGACAACAGTGCATAAGTGTTCGCAATAAAGCTAATAGAATCCTTGGCTTCATATCAAGAAGCATAAATAATAGGAGTCCTCAGGTTGTTCTTCAACTCTATACATCCTTGGTTAGGCCTCATTTAGATTATGCTGCACAGTTTTGGTCACCGTATTACAGAATGGATATAAAGGCTCTGGAAAATGTAAAAAGGAGGATGACAAAGTTGACCCCAAATGTATCAAAAACCTTCCTATGAGGATAGACTGGGGCCCCTGAATTGCACTTCTAGAAAGAGGAAAAAATTGGGGGGGAATGTTAGGTTATAAATGGAAGACGGGGAAAAATAAAGGGATGTAAATAGTGTGCTGAAAAATATCTAGCCAAAACGGACTCGGCAATGGTTTAAAGTTGGAAAAATTCAGATTCGGAAGGATATGGGAAAAAGTAGGTTTTGGGAAATGAGTTGTGGAGGTGGAACAAACTCCCAAGTCAGTTTAGGGCCCAGAACGTTGTGTAGTTTTAAAAATAGGGGATAAATACATGAGTGGTGTGGGGGGGTGTGATTTGGGGCCCTGATAGTTTTGTGCTACCGGGTGGGTTGCCGGGCCCCCTTAATAAATGTACCTGCCCTGACTGGGTTTGGGGTGTTTGCTTAAGCTGGTAGGAACTTGGACCTGGCCTCGAGGGGCCATAGGCCTTCTGAGTTTTTCCTTGTTCTTATGTTCTTAGACTTCCAGGTGTCAATTTTAAATTTTGAAAACCTGGCGGGGATATGTGGAGATTATTCTAATAGATAAATGGGTACAGGATTGACATACAGAAGGAGAATATACAGTGGGGAAAAGACCAACAGGATGGGTAAAAGAGTTGGGTTGCAGGGATGAGGTAACAAAAAATATCCAGGGTAGTTTTTTATGACAAAATTGTTTTAATATTGTAAACGATTATTGTGAAGAGCAAATCCTTTGCAAGTTTGCAGATGATGTGAAATTATTGAGAATAGAAATGGAAGAACATCCTAAAAAAAAAAAAATTTGAATGAGGACATTGAAACTTGTGAAAATAGTCCCACAATTGGGATGCAAGCAAGAAAGATACACGATAATATACACTTGGAAAATCCAGAGGGATTGACCAAACTTGCAAAAAAATCCTCCCTACAACAGCAAGACTCGGCAGGATATGCAACAATTCCCCAATGTCAGGGGCCCAGGATTGTTCAACTGCCTCCCAGCATACATAAGGGGAATTACAGATAGACCTGTCCGTCTGTCTTCAAGAAGGTGCTGGACAGGCACCTAAAGTCAGTAGTACCTGTTCAGCCCGGCTGTGGTTCATATGTTGGTTTATGTGCAACAGTAACAGCCTGATTGATCAGACCTTGATCCACCATGAGGCCTAATCTCAGATCAGGCAGCAGGGACATTGACCCCCGAAACTTCATCTTTTAACCCCACACCTCTTGCCAAGACCCATGCATTCACTTCTCATACAACCTCATCTATAAATATATTGAACAACCACAGTGATATCACACATCCTTGTCTAAGGCCTACTTTAACTGAGAAATAATCTCTCTCTCTCTCTCTCTCTCCTACATACTCTAACCTGAGCCTCACTATCCTCGTAAAAACTCTTCATTACTTTCAGCAGCCTACCTCCTATTCCATACACCTGCAACATCTGCTACATTGCCCCCCTATCCACCCTGTCATATGCCTTTTCCAAATCCATAATGCCACAAAAACCTCTTTAGCCTTATCTAAATACTGTTCACCTATATGTTTCACTGTAAACACTTGGTCTACACACCCCCTACGTTTCCTAAAGCCTCTTTGTTCATCTCTTATCCTACTTTCTGTCTTACTCTTAATTCTTTCAATAATAACTCTACCAGACACTTTACCAGGTATACTCAACAGACTTATTCCCCTATAATTTTTGCACTTTCCTTTGTACCCTTTACGATGAGAAATTTCAATTACTCAGATATGGTAAACATGAGGAAATTAAATCTTCATCAGAGTACAAAACAAATTCTGGCCACAAAATAGAGCGAAACACCAACGTCAGGGACCTGGGAGTGATCATGTCGGAGGATCTCACCTTCAAGGACCATAACATTGTATCAATCGCATCTGCTAGAAAAATGACAGGATGGATAATGAGAACCTTCAAAACTAGGGAGGCCAAGCCCATGATGACACTCTTCAGGTCACTTGTTCTATCTAGGCTGGAATATTGCTGCACATAACAGCACCTTTCAAGGCAGGTGAAATTGCTGACCTGGAAAGTGTACAGAGAACTTTCACGGCGTGCATAACGGAGATAAAACACCTCAATTATTGGGAGCGCTTGAGGTTCCTAAACCTGTATTCCCTGGAACGCAGGAGGGAGAGATACATGATTATATACACCTGGAAAATCCTAGAGGGACTAGTACCGAACTTGCACACGAAAATCACTCACTACGAAAGCAAAAGACTTGGCAGACGATGCACCATCCCCCCAATGAAAAGCAGGGGTGTCACTAGCACGTTAAGAGACCATACAATAAGTGTCAGGGGCCCGAGACTGTTCAACTGCCTCCCAGCACACATAAGGGGGATTACCAACAGACCCCTGGCAGTCTTCAAGCTGGCACTGGACAAGCACCTAAAGTCAGTTCCTGATCAGCCGGGCTGTGGCTCGTACGTTGGTTTGCGTGCAGCCAGCAGCAACAGCCTGGTTGATCAGGCTCTGATCCACCAGGAGGCCTGGTCACAGACCGGGCCACGGGGGCGTTGACCCCCGGAACTCTCTCCAGGTAAACTCCAGGTATGCTTTCTGCCAATCCCTAGGTACCTTACCCTCTTCCATACATTTAATAAAGTACAGTGCCTGCACTCTGAAGGAGCGGTGTTAATGTTGCAGTTTAAAAACTGTAGTGTAAAGCACCCTTCTGGCAAGACAGTGATGGAGTGAATGATGATGAAAGAGTTTCTTTTTCGGGCCACCCTGCCTTGGTGGGAATCGGCCAGTGTGATAATAATAAAAAATACCAACCATTCGATATATATATATTCTTCTTCTTCTTTCAACAAACCGGCCGTATCCCACGAAGATATATACTATTAACCCTTTGACTGTTTCAGGCCCCTCTCTGAAACTGTCATTCTATGTCGCTCAATTTTTGAAAAAAAAAAAAATTATTTTTTCTTATGAAATGATAGAGAATCTTTTCCCGATGGTAATGACACCAAAAGTTCGAAATTTGGTCGAAAACTCGTGGAATTATGCTCCCGCGAAGTTAGCGGTCTCGGCGACATATGCGTATCGGCGATTTCGCCGACTTTGAGCCCAATTTTCAGCCAATCCCATTGTTCCAGTTGACCAAACTCATAGCTATTTCTTTAGAACTCCATTTTATCTATCAGCTGAGTACAAGAAACCTCCATTTACTAATTTGGACTACCCAATATGGTGGTCAGAAATTGGCAATTTGGCCAATTTCACGCAAAATAAAAAAGATGCCAATTTCAAAATAGGGTCCAGAATAAACAAGGTAGACATTCGTGGCACTAAAATAACATATGCTCTGTTCATTAGTCACATCTCTAGGCCCCTCTTATATTATTATTGCTTTCTATTTTGATTTTTTATTCATACAAAAAAATACAAAAATTTACTGTTATGCAGACGACTGCATTATTGTAAAAATGGTATAAATAATATCAGTGCACTAGTGAAAGAATATTAGACTCCCCAGTTGACGTGTATTGGACGTGTGGTGTGATTTATGTACTCTTGAACATTGGTAAAAATCGAACATTTCCGCTACTTTGAGCTCAGTTTCAAGGTCGTTTTCATCGTAAAAGTAATGAAAATCATCTCTATTTCTGTATATGTTTTCCATTTTATCACCTAAGACCATGAAAACGCGAATACAACGATAAATACTATACGAAAATACACCTCAAAGTCGGCGTTTTATTCCAAAAAAACGATCAGAGTTTTTTTTTCTCATTACGCAATGTGTGCTGCAGGATTTTTTTTATGTGGTGCACACTGACCACACAGACCCATTCTCTCACATGTGGGCTTACCAGCTTTCTCCCACTTGATTTGAAGCCGCTAGAATTATTGAGTATATATACGTCAGAAACATTGGCTCGTAAGACGTATTTATACGTCGAAAACAGTCAAAGGGTTAAGAGTGGTAGTATAGGGTAAGGAGTGTTATTTGTGGTACATAGTATTGTATCTTGAAAAGGATGCCTGCTGATTTGGAAATTTTCTTGGCTATGTATTGGATGTGGGAATGAAATTTAAGATTACAGTCAGGGAGAAGACCTAGAAATTTACCCTCAGTGTGTCTTGATATAGGGGAACCATTTATCGATATACATATTAAGTTGGATATTTAAGGCTCTGTTGCCAAACAGCATGAAGTGTGCTTTGTCTTTGTTGAGAGTGAGTTTGTTGGTCATCATTCAAGTATACATTTTTAGCAACTCGTTGTTTACAATGTTTCTAAGTACAGCTGGGTTTGAATGGGAGTAGACATAAGTAGTATCATCTGCGAATAGAACTGGTTTGAAGAGTTGGGATGCATTGGGGAGGTCATTGATGTAGATGAGAAAGAGGAGTGGGCCTAGGACACTACCCTGGGGTACTCCTACAGCTACAGACTGTATAGCAGAGTTGACTCCATTTGCATATGCATACTGGTGTCTGTCGTTAAGATGAGATTTTATGTAATCAAGAGAATGTCCTCTGGTGCCACAATGATTTAGTTTTAGGTGCAGGAGATTGTGGTCGACCAAATCAAACGCTTTTCGTAGGGCAATGAAGAGCCCCAGAGGATATTATTTTTATCGAGAGCTGTACATATTAGTTCAGACATTTGTATAAAGGCAAAGGGGATAAAAGAGAGTGCAAAAATTATAGGGGGATAAGTCTGTTGAGTGTACCTGGTAAAGTGTATGGTAGAGTTATAATTGAAAGAATTAAGAGTAAGACGGAGAATAGGATAGCAGATGAACAAGGAGGCTTTAGGAAAGGTAGGGGGTGTGTGGACCAGGTGTTTACAGTGAAACATATAAGTGAACAGTATTTAGATAAGGCTAAAGAGGTCTTTGTGGCATTTATGGATTTGGAAAAGGCGTATGACAGGGTGGATAGGGGGGCAATGTGGCAGATGTTGCAAGTGTATGGTGTAGGAGGTAGGTTACTGAAAGCAGTGAAGAGTTTTTACGAGGATAGTGAGGCTCAAGTTAGAGTATGTAGGAAAGAGGGAAATTATTTCCCAGTAAAAGTAGGCCTTAGACAAGGATGTGTGATGTCACCGTGGTTGTTTAATATATTTATAGATGGGGTTGTAAGAGAAGTAAATGCGAGGGTCTTGGCAAGAGGCGTGGAGTTAGAAGATAAAGAATCACACACAAAGTGGGAGTTGTCACAGCTGCTCTTTGCTGATGACACTGTGCTTTTGGGAGATTCTGAAGAGAAGCTGCAGAGATTGGTGGATGAATTTGGTAGGGTGTGCAAAAGAAGAAAATTAAAGGTGAATACAGGAAAGAGTAAGGTTATGAGGATAACAAAAAGATTAGGTGATGAAAGATTGAATATCAGATTGGAGGGAGAGAGTATGGAGGAGGTGAACGTATTCAGATATTTGGGAGTGGACGTGTCAGCGGATGGGTCTATGAAAGATGAGGTGAATCATAGAATTGATGAGGGAAAAAGAGTGAGTGGTGCACTTAAGAGTCTGTGGAGACAAAGAACTTTGTCCTTAGAGGCAAAGAGGGGAATGTATGAGAGTATAGTTTTACCAACGCTCTTATATGGGTGTGAAGCGTGGGTGATGAATGTTGCAGCGAGGAGAAGGCTGGAGGCAGTGGAGATGTCATGTCTGAGGGCAATGTGTGGTGTGAATATAATGCAGAGAATTCGTAGTTGGAAGTTAGGAGGTGCGGGATTACCAAAACTGTTGTCCAGAGGGCTGAGGAAGGGTTGTTGAGGTGGTTCGGACATGTAGAGAGAATGGAGCGAAACAGATGACTTCAAGAGTGTATCAGTCTGTAGTGGAAGGAAGGCGGGGTAGGGGTCGGCCTAGGAAGGGTTGGCGGGAGGGGGTAAGGAGGTTTTGTGTGCTAGGGGCTTGACTTCCAGCAGGCATGCGTGAGCGTGTTTGATAGGAGTGAATGGAGACAAATGGTTTTTAATACTTGACGTGCTGTTGGAGTGTGAGCAAAGTAACATTTATGAAGGGATTCAGGGAAACCGGCAGGCCGGACTTGAGTCCTGGAGATGGGAAGTACAGTGCCTGCACTCTGAAGGAGGGGTGTTAATGTTGCAGTTTAAAAAACTGTAGTGTAAAGCACCCTTCTGGCAAGACAGTGATGGAGTGAATGATGGTGAAAGTTTTTCTTTTTCGGGCCACCCTGCCTTGGTGGGAATCGGCCAGTGTGATAATAATAAAAAAAAAATTTGTATAATAGCATCATTCATACTTTTTCTTGGTCTAAACCCAAACTGGCAGGGATTAAGTATGTTGTTGGATATAAGGTAGTAGTAAAGTCGTTTATGTATTATTTTTTCACATATTTTGGAAAGTAAGGGCAAGTTTGATATGGGTCTATACTTGTTCAAGTCAGTTGGATCACCTCCTTTGAGGATCAGGGTAACCCTTGCTGTCTTGAGTATAGATGGGAAGGTTGAGGATGCTACAGATTTGTTAAACATTGTTGTAATAATGGGTGACAGCACACGTGCAGCTTTTATATATATGAATGGTGGCAAGTTATCCAGATCTCCTGCTTTGTTTTTTAATAACTTAATGATGAGTGAGATTTCATTAGAATTAGTTGGAACTAGAAATAGAGTATTTGGGTAGTTGCCAGTGAGGTAGTCCTTAGGTTGGGTATTTGAGCTATGAATTTTACTTGCTAGTTTTGATCCTATAGTAGAGAAGACATTAAATTTGTTGGCTGTGTCTGTAGGCTACATGTGAGGTTCATCTGGCCTAGTTAAGTTTATCTTTGTGTACAGACAGTTTCCTAGAGCCCAAAATTTTATAGAGGGTTTGCCAGGTACTTTTCATATCACCTTTTATTTCAATAAATCTTTTTTCGTAATACATGGACATAGATATATATTTATCTACGTATATGCAGGTATTGTAGCTAATCAATGAAGCAAGTAAAGTGCATTTATAATTAATGATGAAATTATGTAATTCTTAAAAAGAAAGTAGTATATATACAATTCGTAAGTTCTTTTATTAATTTTTAGCTACAACTTGTTCTTCAACGATTCCACGACCACCATCGACTACAACTTTCTCGCCCACCACCAAGATCACAACTACAAGATCTCCTCTTTGTAGTACCACCCAGTTTCCATGTGGTGATAATGGCCTCACATGTATACCCAGCATGCTTCTTTGTGATGGTGTGTCTGATTGCCCCAATGGTCAAGATGAACTAAAATGCCCAGGTACTTACTTAGTGATTATTAAATTATGTTTTATTTGTTTTTACACTCTCAACTTGGTGGTACATAGTTGTTGTTTTACTTTTTTTTTGTATTTTCTGCTGTTATACAGAGCATGTATTTAAGATTGTTTTTTGTTTTGATCTTTGGGTAGTCATAAAAATTATTTGCCTTCACTCACTCCTATCTAACACACTCACCCATGCTTGCTGGAAGTCTAAACCCCTCTCACACAAAACCTCCTTTACCCACTCCCTCCAACCTTTCCAAGGACAGCCCCTACCCTGCCTTTCTTCCACTACAGATTTATATGTCCTCCTAGTTATTCTATTTCACTCCATCCTTTCTGAATGTCCAAACCACCTCATCAGCTTCCCTCCTCAACCTTCTGGATAATACTTTTAGAAACCCCACACCTCCTTCTAATATGCAAGCTATGAATTCTTTGCATAATATTCAAACTGCACATTACCCTCAGACACAACATCTCCACTGCCTCCAGCCTTCTTCTTGTTGCAATGTTCACTACCCATGCTTCACACCTATATGAGAGCATTGGTACCACTATACTCTCATACATTCCCCTCTATAGACTTCTCAGTGCACCGCTCACCTTTTTCCTTCATCAGTTCTGTGATTCATCTCATTTTTCATAGACCCATCTTCCAAATGTTTGAATACTTTCACTTCCTCTATACTCCCTCCCTCCAGTCTGATATCCAGTCTTTCAATACCTAAATTTTTTGTTATCCTCTTCACCTTGCCCTTTCCCATGTTCGCTTTTAATCTCCTTTTACATACCCTTCCAAACTTGTCCACCAACCTCTGCAACTTATCTTTAGAATCTCCCAAAAAGCAGTGTCATAGATTTACCATTATGATTAATATTATAACATTTATTATTATTTCTTAACTTAATAGTCATTTCCTGACAAGGCAGATGTGATGCAAAGAAGAAAACATATTCACCCATTTGTCATCTTTCCAGATTACCCAGCCATCTCCTGTCAAGGCAGATGTGATCCAAAGAAGAAAACACATTCACCCATTAGTTATCTTTTCAGATTACCCTTGGATTGCAAGATTCACACCTGTCCTTCAGAGTGCATGCACTGCTTTTCTCACCTCTAGGACTCAAGTCTGGCTAATGAGTTTCCTGAATCCCTTCATAAAAGCTACCCCTGCTCACACTCCAACAGCACATCCATTAAAAATCACTTGTCTCCATGCACTCCTATCTTACACCTCACACAAGCCTTCAGGATGCTCAGTCCACTAAACAAAGCCTCTTGTACCTCCTTTCTCCAGCTGTTCCTGGGATGACCCCTTTCCCTCCTACCTTGGATGCCAGATTTATATTTATATACCCTTTTCATCAATGTATTATTAATATAGCATTTACTTAACAAATTACAGGTATCTATTTTGTGTCATAAAAGCAAAAGTGACTTCACACATGTTGCTGTATGAGCCAACCCCTGAAATTTTGAGGTGTTAATTCAGGTTTAGGTTTATGTTTCCTGATAAGTTGACCCTTCTCCCTCAAAAAAAAACTAAGGCAGCATCACTTCTATCAGTCTGTCAAGTAAAAACAATAAATACTGTACACTGATTACAAAAATCATGCTGAAAAAACAGAAAACCTAGGTGAAAAAAAAGAATTACACCATTACCAAATACTATTACCCCACACCCACACCACCATTTAAGACAGTCCAGAAGTCACATGATAAGTTTCATATTGTTTTGAATCAGTTATTGTCCAGTTTAAAATATCAAATATTTCCACAACTTAATCTCTCATTCTATATTATCTTTGTTACAGTAAATATAAAGTTTCAAGTTGGAAATATAAACACATATGCAATATAATGTGATCCTTTATTGACAACGTTTCGCCCACACAGTGGGCTTTTTCAAGTCACAAACAGATCTACCTGGGGTGGAAGGTACGCGTACCTTCCACCCCATCAGTAACTTTATACTAGGCATATTAGTCAACCCCTAATTTTGTAATGCTTTTTTTATGCTTAAAAAGTTCACTTTTATACTGGCATATACTGTAATTCACTGTATGTTATCTCTGTGACATATCAAATCTTATCCTAATTTTTTTTTTCAACAAGACAGCTATCTCCCACCGAGACAGAGTGACCCAGAAAGAAAGAAAATCTCCAAAAAGAAAATACTTTCATCATCATTCAACACTTTGACCTCACTCATACATAATCACTGTCTTTGCAGAGGCACACAGATAGGACAGTTTAGAAGTCCCTCCAAACTGTCAATATCCCAAACCCTTCCTTTAAAGTGCAGGCATTGTACTTCCCATTTCCAGGACTCAAGTCCAGCTAACCGGTTTCCCTAAATCCCTTCACTAAATATTACCCTGCTCACACTCCTACAGCTCATCAGGTCCCAAAAACCATTCGTCTCCATTCACTCCTATCTAACACGCTCACACACGCTTGCTGAAAGTCCAAGCCCCTTGCTCACAAAACCTCCTTTACCCCCTCCCTCCAACATTTTTGAGGACAACCCTTATCCCCTCCTTCCTGTCCCTACAGATTTATATGCTCTCCAAGTCATTCTACTTTGATCCATTCCCTCTAAGTGACCAAACCACCTCAACAATCCCTCTTCAGCCCTCTGACTAATACTTTTAGTAACTCCAGACCTCCTTCTAATTTCCACACTCCAAATTCTCTGCATAATATTTACACCACATATTGCCCTTAGACAGGACATCTCCACTGCCTCCAGCTGCCTCCTCGCTGCAACATTTACAACCCAAGCTTCACACTCGTATAAGAGTGTTGGTACCACTATACCTTCATACATTCCCTTCTTTGCCTCCATAGATAACATTTTTTGTCTCCACAGATACCTCAGTGCATCACTCACCTTTTTTCCTTCATCAGTTCTACGGTTAACCTCATCCTTCATAAACCCATCTGCTGACAAGTCAACTCCCAAATACAGTATCTGAAAACAATCATTTCTTCCATACTCCCTCTCTCCAATTTGATATTCAATTTTTCTTTATCTAAATCGTTTGATACCCTCATCACCTTACTCTTATCTATGTTCACTTTCAACTTTCTAGCTTTACACACCCTCCCAAACTCGTCCACTAACCTTAGCAACTTTTCTTTAGAATCAACTTAAAATAAAGTTATTGGTTCACTAGCTATTACTGTGTTAATCAACTTTATCAATTGTTTCATTAATTGCAATATTCTTAATTATGACATGAATTGTTACTGTATAAATTTTAACAGACTATCAGAAAATTCAAATTCAAAGGTTTGACATTCAGTTAATAAAGTGTATTGCAAGAATTGGTGTTAAGAAAATAATAAAATTGTATAATTCTTTTCTTCCTCAGATAAAACTCCATGTGACCATGGTTTCATATACTGTGGAGACAAATATATGGAAGATCATCCATGTTTAGAGTCAGATAAAGTGTGTGATGGGAAGATTGATTGCAATACTTATAATGCTGATGAATCTCTCTGTGATCAGTGTCCATCTTATTATTGCCTAAACCACGGCACATGCACTGTGCAAACTAAAATGGCACCGGTGTGCAGGTGAGTACAGGAGTAACTTACTGTTGCCTCCATTACCTTCTATGTTTATGGTACTTTTGCTGCATTTCCTTCATTATTGCTTTATGGTTCTAAAACTCAGTGGCATGCATTTCTAACAATAAGAGTTCCATTTAATTCTTCAGATTTACTTCAGCAAAGATCTGAAGAGCACCTGAGTTTTGTTTGTAGAAAATGTACAGGTTATAATGATGATAATCTTTGTCTTTAAAACATACACAGACATTACAATGGATGGAATAGCAACTTGTTTGTGTACAGATTGCAAAAACATCCCCTAGTTATGCACTCAACTCACGCACTGAGGTCCGGTGTTCAAATCCCTGGTACAACTGGAAAACATTAGGATATATTTTCGTAGGATACATGCCATAACTGTTGACCCATCAGTAAAATGGGTACCTGGGTGATAGTCAGCAGGTGTGGGTAGCATCCTGGGACAAAGGTGACTAATTTGCCTGAAGTGCTCTGCATAATAAGTTGTTTTCAACATAGTAGTAGTACATCATTGATGTCAGCTAGGCCTGTATACCTTGTACATATAGTTGTAGAAATAAAGATGCTATTATTATTATATTAACTATGACTAAACTGTAAATGTATTAAATGGCTGGAATCTTAATCATGAGCGTGTTCGATAGGAGTGAATGGAGACAAATGAGATTTGGGACCTGACGATCTGTTGGAGTGTGAGCAGGGTAATATTTAGTGAAGGGATTCAGGGAAACCTGTTATTTCTATATACCCGGACTTGAGTCCTGGAAATGGGAAGTACAATGCCTGCACTCTAAAGGAGGGGTTCGGGATATTAGCAGTTTAGAGGGATACGTTGTGTATCTTTATACGTATATGCTTCTAAACTGTTGTGTTCTGAGCACCTCTGCAAAAACAGTGATTATGTGTGAGTGACATGAAAGTGTTGAATGATGATGAAAGTATTTTCTTTTTGGGGATTTTCTTTCTTTTTGGGTCACCCTGCCTCGGTGGGAGATGGCCAACTTGTTAAAAAAAAAAAAAAGTTAAGAAAGCCTAGGGAACGAATGGATTTTTCAGTTATAAACAGAGTAGGGGAGTCAGTAGAGGGGAGCTGGAGGTATTGAGTAGATGGCAGGAATATTTTGAGGAACTTTTAAATGTCAATGAAGAAAGGGAGGTGATAATTTCATGCACTGGTCAGGGAGATATAATATCTTTTAGGAGTGAAGAAGAGCAGGATATGAGCATGGGAAAGGTGCTTGAGGCATTACATAGACTGGAAGAGGGTAAAGCAGCTGGAGCTGATGGGATCATGACAGAAATGTTAAAAGCAGGGTGGGATATAGTGTTGGATTGGTTGGTATTTTTGTTTAATAAATGTATGAAAGAGGGAAAGGTGCCTAGGGATTGGCAAAGTGTGTGTATACTCTCTTTATACAAAAGGAAGGGGGACAAAAGATATTGTAAAAATTATAGGGGAAAAAGTTTGAGTGTACCAGGTAAAGTGTATGGTAGGGTTGTTATTATTAGAGAATTAGAGGTAAGACAGAGTAGGATTGCAGATGAGCAAGGAGGCTTTACAGTGGGTAGGGGATGTGTGGATCAAGTGTTTACATTGAAGCATATATGTGAACAGTATTTAGATAAAGGTAGGGAAGTTTTCATTGCATTTATGGATTTAGAAAAGGCATATCATAGAGTTGATAGGGGAGCAATGTGGCAGATGTTGCAGGTATATGGAATAGGTAATAAGTTACTAAATGCTGTAAAGAGTTTATATGAGGATAGTGAGGCTCAGGTTAGGGTGTGTAGGAGAGAGGGAGATTACTTCCCGGTAAAAGTAGGTCTTAGACAGGGATGTGTAATGTCAATATGGCTGTTTAATATATTTATAGATGGGGTTGTAAAACTTGTCCACTAACCTTTGCAACTTTTCTTTAAAATCTCCCATAAGCACAGTATCATCAGCAAAAAGTAACTGTGTCAACTCCCATTTTGTATTTGATTCCCGATAATTTAATCACACCCCTCTCCCCAACACCCTAGCATTTATTTCTTTTACAACCCCATCTTTCTTTCTTCTTTCAACACACCGGCCGTATCCCACCGAGGCGGGGTGGCCCAAAAGGAAAAACGAATGTTTCTCCTTTTACCATTTAGTAATATATACAGAGAAAGTTACTAGCCCCTTGCTCCCGGCATTTTAGTTGCCTCTTACAACACGCATGGCTTACGGAGGAAGAATTCTGTTCCACTTCCCCATGGAGGTAAGAGGAAATAAACAAGAACAAGAACTAGAAAGAAAATAGAAGAAAACCCAGAGGGGTGTATGTGTATATATATGCTTGTACATGTATGTGTAGTGTGACCTAAATGCAAGTAGAAGTAGCAAGACATACCTGAAATCTTGCATGTTTATGAGACAGACAAAAGACACCAGCAATCCTACCATCATGTAAAACAATTACAGGCTTTCGTTGTACACTCACTTGGCAGGACGGTTGTACCTCCCTGGGCGGTTGCTGTTTACCAACCTACTACCTAACAACAACCCCATCTATAAATATATTAAACAACCATAGTGACATTACATATCCCTGTCTAAGACCTGCTTTTAACGGGAAGTAATCTCCCTCTCTCCTACACACCCTAACCTGAGACTCAATATCCTCATGAAAACTCTTTACAACATTTAGTAACTTACTACCTATTCCATACACTTGCAATATCTGCCACATTGCTCCCCTATCCACTCTATCATATGCATTTTCTAAATCCATAAATGCAATGAAAACTTCCCTACCTTTATCTAAACACTGTTCACATATATGCTTCAATGTAAACACTTGATCTACACATCCCCTACCCACTCTAAAGCCTCTTTGCTCATCTGCAATCCTACTCTCTGTCTTACCTCTAATTCTTTCAATAATAACCTTACTGTACACTTTACCTGGTATACTCAGTAAACTTATTCCCCTATAATTTTTACAATCTCTTTTGTCCCCATTCCCCTTTGTATAAAGAAACTATACACGCCAATCCCTAGGTACCTTCCCCTCTTTCATACATTTATTAAACAAAAATGCCAACCACTCCAACACTACATCTCCCCCTGCTTTTAACATTACTGTCATGATCCCTCCAGTTCCAGCTGCTTTATCCCCTTTCATTCTATGTAATGCCTCATGCACCTCCCCCACACTCACTTCCTGCTCCTCTTCACTCCTAAAAGATGTTTTACCTCCCTGACCAGTGCCAAAAATTACTGCCTCCCTTTCTTCATCGACATTTAAAAGTTCCTCAAAATATTCCCATCTACCCAATACCCCCAACTCCCCATCTACTAACTCCCCTACTCTGTTTTTAACTGACAATTCCATTTGTTCCCTAGGCTTTCTTAACTTATTTGTCTCACTCCAAATTTTTTTCTTATTCTCAGCATAATTTCTTGACAGTGCTTCTTCCATTCTATCATTTGCTCTCCTCTTGCACTCTCTCAAAACTCTCTTCACCTTTCTTTTACTTTCCATATACTCTGCCCTTCTTATATCACTTCTGCTTTGTAAAATTATTATTTTATTTTTATTATCACACCGGCCGATTCCCACCAAGGCAGGGTGGCCCGAAAAAGAAAAACTTTCACCATCATTCACTCCATCACTGTCTTGCCAGAAGGGTGCTTTACACTACAGTTTTTAAACTGCAACATTAACACCCCTCCTTCAGAGTGCAGGCACTGTACTTCCCATCTCCAGGACTCAAGTCCGGCCTGCCGGTTTCCCTGAATCCCTTCATAAATGTTACTTTGCTCACACTCCAACAGCACGTCAAGTATTAAAAAACCATTTGTCTCCATTCACTCCTATCAAACACGCTCACGCATGCCTGCTGGAAGTCCAAGCCCCTCGCACACAAAACCTCCTTTACCCCCTCCCTCCAACCCTTCTAGGCCGACCCCTACCCCGCCTTCCTTCCACTACAGACTGATACACTCTTGAAGTCATTCTGTTTCGCTCCATTCTCTCTACATGTCCGAACCACCTCAACAACCCTTCCTCAGCCCTCTGGACAACAGTTTTGGTAATCCCGCACCTCCTCCTAACTTCCAAACTACGAATTCTCTCTCATAAACTACCTTTTTCTCTTTTATCGCACCCTTTACCTCATCATTCCACCAATCACCCCTTTTTCGTCCTGCACCCACCCTCCTAGTCAAAAACTTCTGCTCCACATTCTAATAATGCATTTTTAAAACTATCCCATCCCTCTTAAACCCCCCTTCCTTACCCATACTTGCACTAGCCCACCTTTCTGCCAATAGTTGCTTATATCTCACCCTAACTTCCTCCTCCCATAGTTTATAAACTTTCATCTCTCTTACTTACTGTTGCCATTTTCCTTTTGTCCCATCTACCTCTTACTCTAACTGTAGCTACAACTAGATAATGATCAGATATATATACTCCACACACACACACACTCTCAACATTTCCTAAAATCTCTCTCTCTCTCTCTCTCTCCCCCCTCCAGGTGTATAAACACTTACTATAACCTACTTTTCACATCCATCCCTTATTTTACTCCACATAATCCTTTAATTTATACATTTATATTCCTTCTTTTCCTGCCATAACTGATCCTTCAACATTATTGCTACTTAGCTCTAACTCTATTAGAAACCCCTGACCCTATACCATTTATTATTCCCCACTGAAACTCTCTTACCCGCTTCAGCTTTGTTTCACTTAGAGCCAGGACATCCAGCTTCTTTTCATTTATAGTATCCACAATCATCTCTTTCTTTTCATTCGCACTACAGCCACACACATTCAAACATCCCATGTTGATGGTTTTCTTCTTTTTCTTTTTAGTAGGCTATATGGGAAAAGGGGTTACTGGCCCATTGTTCCCAGCATTTTTGTTGGATTTTACAACATGCATGGCTTATGGAGGAAAGATTCTTATTCCACATCCCCATGGATGTGAAAGGAAAAGTAATAACAAGAACTATTAAGATTAAATCAAAGAAAACTCGGGTGAGTGCGTATACATAAACATGTACATGGATGCGTAGTGTGACCTAAGTGTAAGCAGAAGCAAGACGTACCTGAAATCTTGCATATTTATGAGACAGAAAAAAGACACCAGCTGTCCTACCATCATGTAAAACAAATACGGTCAGACCTCAGTTTTTGTATGCCCTAGTTTTCGTAGGATTTGGTTTCCGACGACTTTTTTTGTTGAAATTTTGTCCCAGTTTTCGTACATCCGCTCAGTTTTTGTAGAGCTGAAAATGGTCCATACCAAACTCGTCCACCTGCCCACATGACTTGGCCACTCTAGCACCCATACAAAGCATCCCATGCATTTGTGACTCAATCTGCCTTTGTTTCTCGTTGAGTGAGCATCACCCTGCACGTTCATCTGAGACATTTCGTAATACTCCATTTTTTTTTGCCTGTTTATTGAGTGTGAGTGTTAAATAAGCCACCATGAGGCCAAAGAAATTTCTGAGTGCTAGACCTTTGATAAAGAAGGCAAGAAACACAATAGAATTCAAGAAAAAAAAACTTAGCAAAGTACAAAAGTGGCATATGCGTGGCTGATCTCACAAGGATATACAGGAAGTCTGCCTCAACGATCAGTTCCATCCTGGTGAAGAAAAAAGAAATCAAGGAAGGTGATGTTGTGAAAGGGGTAAATGTGCTAACAAAACAGAGATCACAAACAATTGAATATTTTGAGAAGTTGTTGTGGAGAAATATCACCCTAACAAAGCTGTTGCAAGTCGTGTCTGCAACATGTTCAATGACAGTGCCTTGTCCCGTTTTAGGCAAATCTTAAAGAGACGCCAGAAACAGGCCTCTCTGAGTTAGTTTGATTTTGAGAAGTTGTTGTGGAGAAATATCACCCCAACAAAGCTGTTGCAAGTCGTGTCTGCAACATGTTCAATGACAGTGCCTTGTCCCGTTTTAGGCAAATCTTAAAGAGACGCCAGAAACAGGCCTCTCTGAGTTAGTTTAATATGTTTATTATGCACCCCATACCCATCCTGTGGGCGGTAGTCAAAAGATTACAGAGGTACATAATTGGTCCAGGGACTGGACTCCAAAGTTTTGATAGCTGAGCAAGTTACAAAGGTAATGAACTAGATCTGGTCATAATCATGACCAAGTTACAAAGGTAATGAGCTCCAGGTAGAGCTGGTCACACTCATGAATAATTGCAAAGGTAATGAATCAAACACATTAATCATGAGAATTTACAAAGGTAATGAGCTCCAGGTAGAGCTGGTCAAAATCATGACAAGTTTCAAAGGTAATGAATGATAAACACGTTATCACATGATTACAATCATAGACAAATTACAGAGTAATGAGCAGTTAACAAACATAGCAGGGAATTCATCCATTGCCCCAACAACAGATGTTGCTAGGTGCCTGTCTCTCCTCGGCAGACAGCCATTGCAAACAGCAGCAAGTTGCCCCGGGATCTGCTGCTTGTATGAGCACCATCGACCCTCCCCAAGAGGTCCAAGAAGCCAGTGACTCCGTTAGCAGCCCGATGGAGAGCTGCCCTAGGGACATGTCAGCGTCCTGGTGGACGCCAAGTTGATTGAAGATCCCAGGCCTTCATGTGCACGGATGTTGAAGCTTGAGGAACTGAGTACACACTGCCTGTGGCACACCTGACAGCTGCCTCGCGGTCGAACTCCACGATGCTGTCCCTGTAGTGGAAGTTCCTGTGAGCCTCTCTGAGCAGAGTTTTTGTGCAACAGGGGTCCAGTGACTCTTAAGTTGGTTCTAGTGCCAGTAAGAGACAAAGAAGGGGAGTAACCCCAGATAGGGCCTTGATACCTGAATTCCTTATGGATGGGGATTCCCCTTCCAAACAATAACCTCTCCTTCTCCCTCTCCCCTCCTCATCGTCTTCCATACACCAACAAGTCTTCAATAAAGATAAAAGTGATGTTAAATGTTCATTTATCCATTTCATTAGTCCTTAATATTTATTTCTCATTGTTTTCTGTATGTAAAACTATAGTTATTCTCTATAAAATGTATCTTTTTAATATTTTTGGGTGTCTGGAATGAATTAATTTGATTTACATTATTTCTTATGCGAAATATTGCTTCAGTTTTCATATGATTTGGTTTACGTCAGACTTTTTTGAATGGATTAATCACGAAAACCGAGGTTCCACTGTACAGGCTTCCATTTTACACTCACTAGGCAGTACGGTAGTACTTCCATGGGCAGTTGCTGTCTACAAACCTACAGAGCTTATTCCTTGGGTAGCATTTAAAATGGGTTGGGCCAATATTTTTGTTAGTAGGTTTGGGTTTGAGAAGGACCTGTTTAGTATGGGTCAGTAGGCCTGCTACAGTGTTTCTCCTTTTTTATGTTCTTCAATATTTCACCTGTGCTGTAGGCCTCATTAATTTAATATAGAGATGAACTGCAATCCTGTAAACAAGAGAATTTCTCTCCACTTTGTCATTCCTGTATTTGATTGTTGAAGCCTGCAGCACAGACAAAACATTATCAATAAAGATACCTAGTGTTACACATATGTCTTACACATCAAAGCTATTAATGTTACACTTCATCTTAGAAATGCTATACATGCCTAGACTGTACTTACAAAATACAGAGGGTTAGGATGTTTGATGTTGGAATACTGATTTACTTTACGTGATTTAGTATAACCCCAGTGCTTCCCTATACCGTAACTCCAGGTTACAAGATTAAGTTAATTGTACCATAAATAAGCTAGCAGCAGTAATGTTAAATTAACAGTTGCAGAAAGAAAAGAGGGGTTATAAATTTTTAGATATGAGAAATAAGATATAGTATTAGATCTTTATGAAATTGGAGATGAAAGGATTGTAGAGGACAGAGATTCTGGAAGGTGTTTTGGGAATTTTTAGGTAATGTTGAAAAAATAAAAATGAGAGAAAAGTTCTGTCGAGAGATTTTAATGCTGAAGTAGGAGACAGTGATACAGTGCCAAGTATGAAAGTTGGCATACCAACTTCTCTACATTTCATTAAATTATGAATTGTGCTGAAAATATATTTGGTGTAATACAAGTTTTAAGAAGATAAACAGGTATATGAGGTATGATTAAGTGTACTATGAGAGTGGTTTGCTGGATTGTGTATTATCAGTAAATGTGACATTTATCAATATATTTTACATGCCATTTTTATATTTTGTACAGCTGCCGCAACTATGAAGGTGAGCGGTGTGAAATTAAGATTCACAAAGGACTTAGTGGTGGTGGTATTGCAGGGATTGTTATAGGCTGTTTGGCCTTTATAGTCCTTGTTGCTGTCATTGCTTTCTACACCACCAAAAAGAAAATGTAAGGATATGTATATGTAATTTTTGTAACTTAACCTATAATTTATTCTTCAATAAAGTGTTTGTTGGTAATTGTAATACAGTACAATGCTGTATTATGTATTTTGCAAAGATTATATGGTGGCTTGGAAAATTAATTTATCAAAGCCAGATTGTGAATTTTATGGAAGCTTATATTTTAGGCTTTGACTCACGAAATCGTAATGGCACAATTGCAAACAAACCATACCATAGGCAGGGATAGAACCCATGATCAGAGAGTCTCAAAACTCCAGACAATCGCGTTAGCCCAGTGGCTAACGCGACGGTCTGGAGTTTTGAGACTCTGATCGCGGGTTCTATCCCCACCCATGGTATGGTTTATTCTAGGCTTGGAGAGAGGGGGTAAAGGAGGTTTTGTGTGCGAGGGGCTTGGACTTCCAGCAGGCATGCGTGAGCGTGTTTGATAGGAGTGAATGGAGACAAATGGTTTTTAATACTTGACGTGCTGTTGGAGTGTGAGCAAAGTAACATTTATGAAGGGGTTCAGGAAACCGGCAGGCCGGACTTGAGTCCTGGAGATGGGAAGTACAGTGCCTGCACTCTGAAGGAGGGGTGTTAATGTTGCAGTTTAAAAACTGTAGTGTAAAGCACCCTTCTGGCAAGACAGTGATGGAGTGAATGATGGTAAAATTTTTTCCCTTTTTCGGCCACCCTGCCTTGGTGGGAATCGGCCAGTGTGAAATAAAAATATAAAAAAAATATTTAGTAGACAAAACCCACAAGGATGATTTAATTAAGGTTTGAACATAATTTTTTTTTTTTTTTTTTTTTTTTTTTTTTTTTTTCAACAAGTCGGCCGTCTCCCACCGAGGCAGGGTGACCCAAAAAAAAAAAAAAGAAAAAATCCCCAAAAAGAAAATACTTTCATCATCATTCAACACCTTCACCACACTCACACATTATCACTGCTTTTGCAGAGGTGCTCAGAATACAACAGTTTTAAAAAGCATATATGTATAGAGATACACAACATATCCCTCCAAACTGCCAATATCCCAAACCCCTCCTTTAAAGTGCAGGCATTGTATTTCCCCAATTTCCAGGACTCAAGTCCGACTATATAAAAATAACCGGGTTTCCCTGAATCCCTTCACTAAATTTTAAACCCTGCTCACACTCCAACAGATCGTCAGGTCCCAAGTAATCATTCGTCTCCATTCACTCCTATCAAACCCATGCTCACGCACGCTTGCTGGAAGTCCAAGCCCCTCACCCACAAAACCTCCTTTACCCCCTCTTTCCAACCCTTTCGAGACGACCCCTACCCCTCTTTCCTTCCCCTATAGATTTATATGTTTTCCCATGTCATTCTACTTTGACCATTCTCTCTAAATGACCAAACCACCTCAACAACCCCTCTTCTGCCCTCTGACTAATGCTTTTATTAACTCCACACCTTCTCCAAAATTTCCACACTCCGAATTTTCTGCATAATATTTACACCACACATTGCCCTTAGACAGGACACTCCACTCCCTCCAACCGTCTCCTCGCTGCTGCATTTACCACCCAAGCTTCACATCCATATAAGAGTTTTGTACAAACTAACTTTCATACTTCCCTTCTTGCCTCCATAGATAACGTTTTTTTGACTCCACATATCCCTCAACGCACCACTCACCTTTTTTCCCTCATCAATTCTATGATTAACCTCATCCTTCATAAATCCATCCGCCGACACGTCAACTCCCATTTATCTGAAAACATTCACTTCTTCCATACTCCCTCCTCCCCAATTTGATATCCAATTTTCTTTATCTAAAATCTTTTGATACCCTCATCACCTTACTCTTTTCTATGTTCACTTCAACTTTCTACCTTTACACACATTCTCAAACTCATCCACTAACCTTTGTAATTTTTCTTTAGAATCCCCATAAGACAGTATCATCAGCAAAAAGTAACTGTGTCAATTCCCATTTTAAATTTGATTCCCCAAAAATTTAATCCCCCCCTCTCCCAAAACACCCTACATTTACTTCTTTTACAACCCCATCTATAAATATATTAAACAACCATGGTGACATTACACATCCCTGTCTAAGACCTACTTTTACCGGGAAGTATTCTCCCTCTCTTCTACACACCCTAACCTGAGCCTCATATCCTCATAAAAGCTCTTTACAGCATTAGTAACTTACCACCTATTCCATTTTACTTGCAACATCGCCACATTGCTCCTCTATCCACTCTATCATATGCCTTTCAAAATCCATAAATGCAATAAAAACTTCCCTCCCTTTTATCTAAATACTGTTCAAAATATATGTTTCAATGTAAACACTTGTCTACACACCCCCTTTACCCACTCTGAAGCCTCCTTGCTCGTCCGCAATTCTACATTCTGTCTTACCTCTAATTCTTTCAATTAAACCCTACCGTATACTTTTCCTGGTATACTCAGTAAACTTATTTCCCTCTATAATTTTTACAATCTCTTTTGTCCCCTTTCCCTTTATATAAAGGGACTATACATGCTCTCCGCCAATCCCTAGGTACCTTCCCCTCTTTCATACATTTATTAAACAAAAGTACCAACCACTCCAACACTATATCCCCCCCTGCTTTTAACTTTTCTGTCATGACCCCATCAGTTCCAGCTGTTTTATACCCCCTTTCATTCTACGTAATCCCTCACGTACCTCCACCACACTTACATTCTGCTCTTCTTCACTCCTAAAAGATGGTATACCTCCCTGGCCAGTGCATGAAATTACCGCCTCCCTTCTTCCTTAACATTTAAAATTTCCTCAAAATATTCTCGCCATCTACCTAATACCTCCCTCTCCCCATCTACTAACTCCCCTACTCTGTTTTTAACTGACAAGTCCATATTTTCCCCTAGGCTTTCTTAACTTTTTTTAACTCACTCCAAAAATTTTTTTTTCTTATTTTCATAAAAATTTCTTGACAGTGCCTCTCCCACTCTTTCATTGCTCTCCTTTTGCACTCTCTCACCACTCTCTTCACCTTTCTTTTACTCTTCATATACTCTGCTCTTCTTATAACACTTCTGCTTTGTAAAAACCTCTCGTAAGCTACCTTTTTCTTTTACACACCCTTTACTTCATCATTCCACCAATCACTCTCTTTCCTCCTGCCCCACCCTCCTATAACCACAAACTTTGCCCCACATTCTATACTGCATATTTAAAACTATTCCAACCCTCTTCAAAACCCCCCACTACGTCATCTTTGCACTAGCCCACCTTGTCTGCCAATTGTCGCTTAAATCTCGCCCGAACTTCCTCCCCCTTAGTTTTTACACTTTCACCTCCCTCACTTGTGTTGCCACCTTCCTCTTTTCCCATCTACCTCTTACTCTAACTGTACCCAAACTACTAAATAATGATCCGATATATCAATGCCCTCATAAACATGTACATCCTGGAGCTACCCATCAACTTTTATCCACCAATACAGTAATCTAACAAACTACTTTCATTACGGGGCTACTCATACCTTGTATATTTATTTATCCTCTTTTTCATAAAATATGTATTACTTATTACCAAATTTCTTTCTAACATAGCTCAATTAAGGCTCCCTATTTACATTACCCCTGGCACCCCAAAATTACCTACTTACTCCCTCCATAACATTTTTACCCACTTTAGCATTGAAATCCCCAACCACCATACTCTCACACTTGATCAAAACTCCCCACGCATTCACTCAACATTTCCAGAACTCTCTCTCTCCTCTACACTTCTCTCTTCTCCAGTGCATACACGCTTACTATAACCACTTTTCACATTCCAATTTTTAAATTTACTCCACATAATCCTTGAATTTATAATTTGTATCCCTCTTTTCTGCCATAGCTTATCCATTCAACATTATGCTACTCCTTCTTTAGCGCTAACTCTATTTGAAACCCCTGACCTAATCCCATTATTCCTCTCCATTGAACTCTCCCACCCCCTCAGCTTTGTTTCACTTAAAGCCAGGACATCCAGTTTCTTCTCATTCATAACACCACAATCATCCTTTGTTACATTTGCACAACATCCACGCACATTCAGACTTCCCACTTTGACAATTTTCTTCTTCTTATTCTTTTTAGTAATCTTTACAGGAAAAGGGGTTACTAGCCCATTGTTCCCGGCATTTTAGTTGACTTTTAAAACACGCATGGCTTAACGGGGGAAAAGGGAATTCTTAGTCCACTTCCCCATGGATATAAAAGGAAAAGTAATAAGACCAAGAACTATTAAGATAAAATCAAAGAAAACTCAGATGAGTGTGTATAAATAAACGTGTACATGTATGTGTAGTGTGACCTAAGTGTAAGTAGAAGTAGCAAGACGTACCTGTAATCTGATCATAATATAATTATTTATAGATGGGGTTGTAAAAAAAAGTAAATGCTAGTGTATTGAGGAGAGGGGTGGGATTAAATTATGGCAATCAAATACAAAATGGAAGTTGACATTTACTTTCTGTTGATGATACTGTGCTTTTGGGAGATTCTACAGAGAAATTGCAAAGGTTAGTGGACGAGTTTGGGAGGGTGTGCAAAAGAAGAAAGTTGAAAGGGAACATAGATAAGAGTAAGGTGATAAGACTTTCAAATTAGTAAAGTAAAGAAAACTAGAAGAAGTAAAATGTTGAGATATTTGGTAGTAGACTCAGTCAGCAGATGGGTTTATGAAGGACGAGGTTAACCATAGAACTGATGAAAGAAAAAGGGTGGATCGTGCAGTGAGGTATCTGTGGAGACAAAGAATGTTATCCATGGAGGCAAAGAAGAGAATGTATGAAAGTATAGTGGTACCAACACTCCTATATGTGTGTGAAGCATGGGTTGTAAATGATGCAGCAAGGAGGAGGCTGGAGGCAGTGGAGATGTCATATCTAAGGGTAATGTGTAGCATAAATAAAATGTTATGCAGAGAATTTGCAGTGTGGAAATTAAGAAATGTGGAGTTACCAAAAGAATTATTCAGAGGGCTGAGG